ATAAAGGTTTATACAGGAAACAAATTATACTGAAATATAGTTATTAAAATATTAAAAACAAAAATTGTGCCACAATAGTGAAAGCTTTATTTATATGTTAAATAGCAAAATCTAAAAAAAAAAAAGCAAAATCTTGGGGCACCATAATTTGGAAGTAGTGATGAGCATAAATGATATTTGGGGATATTTGATTAATCTATGATGTGGTATAGCAATTTCTGTGATTTCTCTGATAACAAATTCACAGGTATAGCTAATAGTCCCCCCAGGGCTGAGTGGTGGCTCACACCTGTAATCCTAGCACTTTGGGAGGCTGAGGTGCATGGATTGCTTAAGCTCAGGGGTTGAGACCAGCCTGAACAAGAGTGAGACTCCATCTCTACCAAAAATAGGAAAATTAGCTGGGATTTGTGATAGATGCCTATAGTTCCAGCTACTCTGGAGACTGAGGCAGAGAATCACATGAACCTAAGAATTTGAGATTGCTGTGAACTAGGCTCAGGCCACAGAACACTAGCCAGGGCAACAGAATGAGACTTTTGCAAAAAAGAAAGAAAGAAAGAAAGAAAGAAAGAAAGAAAGAAAGAAAGAAAGAAAGAAAGAAAGAAAGAAAGAAAGAAAGAAAGAAAGAAAAGAAAGAAAAGAAATAGAAACAGTAGTCCCCATTATCTGTGATTTTTCTTTCTGCAGTTTCAGTTACCTGTAGTCAACCATGATCAGAAAATATTAAACAAATATTTCCCAAAATAAACAATTCATAAGTTTCAAATTGCGAGCTGTTCTGAGTACTATGATAAAGTCTAATGCAGCCCTACTCTGTCCGACCCAGGATGTGAGTGCTCCCTTTGTCCAGAGTATGCATGATGTAAACATTATCTGCCTGTTAGTCACTCACCTAGTAGCCCTCCAGGTCATCATATTGAAAAAAAAAAACTACATATTATGTATAGGGTGTGGTGCTATCTGTGATTTTAGTCATCCACTGTGGGTCTTGGTATATATTCCCCATGAATAAGAGGAGGACTAATGTACTGTCCACGTTTATAATTGAAGAAGATGCTGAAGTTTAGTTAAGACTGATAAAAAGAAATGTACAATTTTCCCCAATTCATGTTCACAGAGACCCTGAATTCTATACTAGGAGGGTTACCTTTTCTTTTGTTCACCTTGACTTTCTTTCAAAGTCTAGCATGGCATATAGCATAAGGCATATGATAAAAAAATCTTTGGAGAATTTAATTGTCATACAGACCTATTGGGCCAAAGCAAAGCTGCCCTGAACTGATTTAGGTTGTATTTAAACTCATAATAAAGGGAGGGAGATTGAGAAATCTATAGAAAGTCATTCTGTCTGACCAAGATGCTTAGGCCTGGGCTGTAGGGTCTCATTTTTTTTTTTATTTACCAGTATATAAAATTCAATGATTGTGATAAAAATTTGTGGGAAGATCTTAAATTGTACATCACATGAATCCAACATCCTTTACTTTAATGCTCACCATCAAGACTTATTATACTTACACTTCCCTTGAAATTATGTTAAATTGCAATATCCTCAGTAATAAAAGCTTTATAGTGTCCCAGGCTGGGTTTTCCAGAAACTAATTCTTCAATGTAGGTTTGTGTGCACACATCTTAAGGATTGCTCTCAAGAGAAATATGTAAGGAAGGAGGAGAAATAGGAGAAGGCAGGGGAGAGGAGCTAAGCAAAGGTGTGATTTTTTTAGGTGAAATTCACCCTCAGAATGATCTCATGACGAGCTCTAGAAATGAAGATGCATTTCAGAGTCTGTTCTGCCTTGAAGCAAGGGGCTCCTGTACCTGTCAGCCATCAGCTTTGGGCTGCCCGATTTACAATCCAGTTGATCTGCCACTTGTGGCCTGGTGGCTTTCTATTATAGAGAATTCCAGTCACCCAATGTAATCCTTTAATGAGAATAGAAGGTGAACGTCCTTAGAAGTAAAGTACATAGAAACTAGGAACTGAGAGGGACCCCAGGGATCAGAGTAGAACACTGACAATGTCCACTACAACCAGTAAATCAAGAGCAACAAAAACCAACAATAGGGCTAATAATCATAACCGGCAATTATTGAGTGCTTCCTGTATCCCAGCACTTGCTCTAAGCTCTTTATAATATTAGCTTATTTAATATTTACAACAATCTTACAAGGTAGCTAATATTATTTCTGTTTTGCCAAGTAAGAAATCTAGATTTATCTATGGGAGCATCTTGTCTAAAGTGACACAAAGATTTCATGATACAACTTTGATTTGAATTCTGGATATGTGATTCAATGCCATACACTTGAAACACCATGCCACCCACTTTAGCATGAATCCTCAATACACAAATTTGTTAAGAGTGGCGCAGCTTGAGTCATCTGGTCTGAGTTCCTATGTCAGGAGCTCAGGACAAAACAAGATAAAACATTCAATGTAGTCAGTGCAGAGCAAACAACAAATATTAGCCACTTGTTAAGAAAGAAAGGAACAAGCCATAGCTTTAAAAAATATATGTTCTATATGCCTACACAAGAGACAACCCCAATTAAATTTAAGTGGGAGGAGGCAGAGGAGAGAGGAGAGAGAACAAAGGAAGGAGGAGGAATGGTAACCTCTCACTTAATGGGCACAGTGTAAGGGTATATGACATACCTCCCAGGTGAAGGGCTCAACTACAACTTGGACTTTACCTAACAAATGCAAACATTGTAACATAATTGTATGTAACCTCATATTAATCTGAAATAAAAATATACATTCTTTTAAGGTATCTCTTGGGTCTGCAAATATCTTTCTTTTGCTATTCTCTAAAAGGTTAAAGAGCCAAAGAAATTGATGATCTGCCTATAAACAATATAACTTTGCAGGGGATTAGACAATTTAGCCACTACTTATGACCAGACTACTAATGTCAAAAACGTTATTTCTGATTGCTTTAAAATCATTAACTGTATTTTATTACTACCTGGGGTATATAAAAACCTTTTCATCAAAAACTTTATTTCTTGGGGGTGGCACCTGTGGCTCAGTGGGTAGGGCGCTGGCCCCATATACCGAGGGGTGGTGGGTTCAAACTCAGCCCCCGGCCAAACTGCAGCAAAAAATGGCTGGACGTTGTGGCGGGCACCTGTTGTCCCAGCTAATCCCGAGGCTGGGGCAGAATAATTGCCTGGGCCAGGGAATTGGAGGTTGCTGTGAGCTGTGTGATACATGGCACTCTACTGGGGGCGATACAGTGACACTCTGTCTCTACAAAAAAATGAAACAACAACAACAACAAAAACTTTGTTTCTTGGGTAGGCACGGTGGCTCACACCTGTAATCCCAGCACTCTGGGAGGCCAAAGTAGGAGTGATCAGTCTGAGCAACATAGTGAGATCCCATCTCTAAAAAAACTCAGAAAAATTAGCCCTGCATAGTGGTGCATGCCTGAAGTCTCAGCTACCAGGGAGGCTGAGACAGGAAAGTTACTTGAGCCCAGGAGTTTTAGGTAACAGTGAGTTATGATGATGTCACTGCACTGTAGTCTGGGCAACAGAGTGAAACTCTGTCTCAAACTCCCCTCAACCCCCAAGGGAAGAAAAAAAAAAAACCTCAGTTCCTCCAAGATTGGTTTAATACCTTGGAAAAGCAGAAATGACGCTTCTGAACTCTTATCTATGACATGATTATCAACAAAAAATATTACAATGTATTTTCAGTTCTAAGGATCCTAGTTGTTTCAGGCACATCAAAGATTTTTACATGTCAAGATAATCTAAGTTTTCTCCTCACATGAAATAAATACAGGCTTCTGATTGTAGTTCAGAGAGCCATAGAAGACACAAACTGTGCACATTGCATAGTTGGCAGCCACGAAGGAACTTAATTTCAGCTTCTTTCTTCTGGGGTGAAAAGTAATAACCAAATGTATTTAAAAACCAGGACTGTACAGACAGCAACCAATCACAATGGATGTTGCAACCAATGGGAACAATGATAATGACCAGATCAGATGACACAACCAATCAGAATGAAGCTTGCTGAAATATAGGTGAAGTCATACCTGAGGAACCAGATAAACATTAGGCCTGCCTACAATAGGTGTAAAACTCTCTGTGCTCATATTACTCAACTTTCTTCACACAGAAACTTATTTTAAGAAATATAAGTGATTTCTGGAGTACTATGGAAAAATTTCACTCACCAGATCCCCTTCTTCCCCCTAGCTATGGTAGAGACAAATCCTCACTACGACTGATCTGAGAAAAGCATTACAAATAGATGTTAGTTAACATTTATTGAACACTCAGGTGCCAGGCACTGCACAGGTTTTATCTTCCTTAATCTTGACAATAGTCCTACGAGGTGGGTACTGTTATCCTTGCCTTATGCATGAGGAAACCAAAAACACGGAGTAGCTTCCTCAAAGTCACACAACAAATGTACACCAGAGTTGGTATACTTGGGTAGTCCTTCCTCTTAACTATTCATTATAACATTATTAACAAATGAGTGTTCTCTTCAACACTATCTTATGTTTTTGATACACAGTCTCTCTCTACCCTGGGTAGAGTGCCCTGGCATCATGGTAGCTCACGGTAATCTCAAACTCTTGGGCTCAAGCAATTGACTTGCCTCAGCCTCCACAGTCACCTATCACAACAACTGGCTAGTTTTTCTGTTTTTAGTAAAGATGGGCATCTCATTCTTGCTCAGGCTGGTCTTGAACTCCTGAGCTCAAGCAATCCACCTGCCTCAGTCTCTCAGAGTGCTAACATTACAGGCATGAACCACCACGCCTGGCCTTCACCAACACCATATTATTAGTTCAATTCTATCCTCCTGAAGTGCTGAAGATGTTTGCTAATATTTGGGCTAATGCTGAGAATCCACAAAGTTCCTGACCAGCATCCATCTTCAGTATGGATGCATTTGACTTATTTCTGATATAAATTGCCTCAAACAAACAAGAAAGCAGCAAAGGAGGGCTGAAAAGATAAAAGAATACTACCTTATTCTCTTGTCTTCCACTTTTTTCAAATATTCATCTCTCTTTAGGACTCCCAGGATCATTTCCTTCTCATGATCTAATAAAAATGACAGATTGATGAACTCCGAGTTCTTAGACATGGTATTTCAACAGTAGCTCTAAGTAGCAGTGATTGAAACTTTCAAAAGGTAAATTGATAGCTACAGCTGTTAAGGCTCCTCCTGACCAACCCAGAGTCACTCAGTTGTTTGGTGTAGAGTAGTTTTTATATGGTCTCTGCAGAACCGCTGATGGTGGCTAGGTATTTTTTCAGACTATACAGAAAACAGGTTCCACTAGGATTACATTCCAAAAAAGTCATTATTGTTTCAACCAAACAAAATTTCCAAAGCCTTTTGCAGTGATATGCAGTGAGGCAGCAGCTGAGTTTCACTAATGATGCTCAACTTCAATCCTTCAGAGAGTGCTACAGAGCAGGAAGCAGATTCGCTGGGATAGAAGGCAGAAGACCCTGAAAAGGTGGAGAAACAATGAAGAGAAATATTAACTCTAGGCCATTTTTTCCTATAGCACTTGCCTAATTTTTGAAATACTAGTGTACCTATCTCAAAAAATATATACTTTAAATCAGTAATCATGCATGGATTAAATATTTATTTTTGTGGTTTTTAAAAATTTACTGTGAAAAGTTATTTACATTTAGGTGATTTCTGGTTGTCTATGCAAATTTAGTTTATTGTAATTAGCTTCCTCTGTCAGCTGGATGCTACTGCCACTCTTGCAGCTAACCCATGGGGGAATCAGGTCACCACTTTGGGATATTAAGTGCACAATCTGGACTGTCCACAGTAGGTCAGGGCCCTTAAGTGGCTCCCTCCGTTTTCCTCCCTCCCTTCATCCCATAACTAAGACTACAACATAGAAAGCATGACTGGTTAACAAACATAAACCAGTGCTACATGTATCAACCTAAATATATCTTACTAACAATGCTGAATGAAAAAAAAAGTATGTTCCAGAAGAATTCATACAAAATGATAGCATATATTAATATATGAATGATATAACTTTCCACAAATATACCTAATTTTTTTAGACAAATTCATGGTAAATTAAGGTTAATGATTACCTCTGAGTGACAGTGAGAGACAATTAGAGAACACAGGCTTCAACTATGTTGAGTATTTTACCCTCAAGATGGGGGTTTATATCCCACAATATACACAGCTGTTTGTGAATTATTCTAGGTAGGTATGTGTTATATACCGCAAATTAGATGTTTTAGAACTACCCCCTTGTCAGCATAAGAAATTTGCCAGGCCATATTCCTCCTTCTAACTCTTGAGCACATTCCCTCATTTGTTTGGTACCTGGATTCTCTCTCCTCAGCCACTTAGGAATGATGACTCTAAGGATGATCTATTGGGTTTTTCTTACTGGGCATCATCCCATGATACTGTCCCTCAGCTTCCCCTTAGATCTAAGAACTACAATCTACATATGAATTATACTTGGTTTGCTTGGTTGTAGCCAGGCCTCTAGGCACTATTAGCTCCACACCAAAAGGCTTCTTTGGGGCCTCCCAGTAACCATAAGGTCAGGCTGATTTCAGAATCAGGAGATATGAAAGGATAAGATCTTGGCTAGAGCCTCCCCAACTTTCCAAGGCCCCAATGTGTTTGTTCTATACAGTGTAAACCAAACCAGAACTTTGTCAAAGTGACTCAGGACTGAAGTGCACTCTATACATCGAGTTAGCCTCCTCTAAGGAAACTGCCAAGGTCATTGCAGATTCTCTGGATTTACTCCAGGATTTTTCCCCATCACCAAAACCCTACAGGCAGAAGCATCAGAGGGTCCCAAGATTGAAAATAACAGAAAACAACAAGGTCAAGAGGAAAAGGGCTCTTCAGAAAGGTTAATGATGTGGTTTTTGCATTACTGTCAACTACAATCTCCTCAGATAAAGAACACAGTTGTTTTTTCCACCCTTTGTGTGTCTCATATGGTTTTAGACTGAAATGGAAAAAATAAAAGGAAATTCAGTGAATGACTATGTTATCATTACAGCCAGGTTCACTGAAAACATATTTTGTATTTGAAATGTCAGATTGAGAGAGTGCTACTTGAATATTCTGTAGAATTGTATTTAGAAATTATTCAAGGAGTTGGGAAATATAAAAGTACTTGACTTGAAGCTTATGGTTATTCCTGCCTTGGGCAGTAAAAAAAAAAAAAAAATCTGCCTTCTAAAAATCCAAGGGTCTGTCCTATGAGGGGAGTAAAGGGAGGGAAGTAACGCTATGAGTAGTGCATGAAGATGACACAGAAAATAGGAAAGAAAGCAAGGATACAAGAGAAATAAAATTTCCTATGGAGAGTTTAATTAACAAAATTATCCTTAAATGGATTTTTACCCATCATACCTGTAGTAACAGACTAATAGCATGTGGATTACTAAACAATTGGGTGGCCAAGGATATCAGAAGTAGCCAAAACTCTATCAAGAAAATCAGGATGATTCCTGCATTAATCAGGATTGGATTGTGTTTATAATTTAGTACAATAGAAACGAATTGAGGATAATACAGTTCTACTGGTAAAATACAAGGTGGAGAAAAGTAGACATTAAGCCTAGGCATAGAGAAGGGTGATTAAAGGAGCTAGATGCTGATGGTGCCCATGCAGACTCCAACCAGGGAAATGAATGAAAATGAAAATACAGCAGAAGCTCCATAGTTGACCACCTCTCTACATTAACCACCTCCTTACATTGACCTAATTATCACAGACTGGGCATGCACCACATGTACATATCAGTAAAGTAGTTCCAGTTCCTTATGTTGACCACTTCTCTATGTTGACCAGCTCATTACAGTCCCTTGGGTGGTCAACATGTGGAGGTTGTACTGTAACTTGTTTGTTCTCTGTAGCACATGTTCTATGATGGGTGATTGAACAGTCTGGCAAATTTTCATGCTATCTATTATTACAATCATATGCTTGCAGGCAAATGTTTATAGCAGCACAATTCACAATCTCAAAGACATGGAAACAATCCAAGGGCCCACCAATATGTGAGTGGATTAATAAAATGTGGTATATATATACTATGGAGTACTACTAAGCCATAAAAATGGTGATCTAGTATCTTCTGCAATAACCTAGAGGGAACTGGAAACCATTATTCTAAGTTAAACAATACAAGAATGGAGAAACAAACACGTTTGCTCAATACCAAATGGAACTAATCAGTCAACACTTAAGTGCACATAAAGAAGTAAATCCCAGTAAAAATCAAGCTGAGGGGAGGAGGGAAGAGGGGATGAGTAACTTCACACCTATTGGGTACTATGCACACTATCTGGGTGAAGTGCACACTTCTGTGTATAATTTTGACTCAATCTGTACAAAAATAAAGTATGTAAACAAAATGTGTGCCCCCTAATATCATGAAATAATAAAAGAAATCATACAACTAATTCTCTTTCCTCTGATTTTACTTCCTCTCAGACAATTCTTATTATAAGTTGGCTTCCCATGGAGTTCTCCCTTCAGGGGTCGATGTTCTCCTCCTGCCCTCCACAACCACTTTAGTTTAAACCAATGTCAGATCTGTTTGCTAAGTTTCAACCAAATCAAATTTCACTGAAGAACAGCATCTGAGCTGTTGTGTGATGAATTCATCTAAGAATGTATTATCACTTGCTGTCTTTTTTCAGCTAGTTCATAACTGAAAGAATATCTTACCTACTACACACACACTTTAATCAAGTGGGAAAAAAATGAGTTGAATCTAATTTTTTTTGTTCGTTGTGCCCAGTTAACACTCAACAGATTTGGAGGGTGATATTAATTTTTTTTTAATACGGAGTCTCACTTTGTCATTCTCACTAGAGTGCTGTGGTGTCACAGCCCACAGTAACCTCAAACTCTTGAGATTAAGTGGTTCTCTTCCCTCAGTCTCCCAAGTAGCTGGGACTACAGGTGCCCACCACAACGCCTGGCTACATTTTTAGAGACAAAGTCTTTCTCTGGCTCATGCTGGTCTTGAACTCATGAGCTCAGGCAATCCACCTGCCTTGGCCTCCCAGAGTGCTAGGATTATAGGCGTGAGCCACTGCACCTGGCCTTGTAATATTCATTTTTATTTTATTCTTCAATCCCTTAACTTAAACATATATCTCTCTTTAAATATTTTAGATGTGGATTTTTTTCCTCTCTGGCCAGTAGCCTTGCTGAACTTTAAACTATTTAGAAAAATGACAAGATGGTTTGTATATCATTCTGCTGCTTTTCAGCATAGATTGCTTTAGACAGGTCCTTAACTTCTGATCATCAAAAAAGATGCAATAATCAAAAATTCTTACAGCAATACCTAGAGGAATAAATTAAAAAAGCATCTGTTTTGAATAACACACACTTAAAAATAATAGGGGTCAATATTTGAGTCAAAGGAAAGGGTACATCTGAACATATCTCATTACTGGGTATTGGAAAAGCAGCTTTTAAAATAGAAATGTTTCTCAAGTGCTCTTAGGGTGAAATTAATAAAAATAAAGTTAATTTCCTATTTACCTTTTACTGTGTGATGACACAACAGTGAGATGGATTGTCAGCCCATCTAGAGGGATGTTAAGGATGCTTGGAATACAAACTAAATAGCATATGCAAAATTTACTTAAAGGTGCCTTTCAAACAGATGTGCAATCATCCTGTATGGCAGCTGTAATTATAGCATCAAAAGCACAAAAATCCACATGACTGTCAAAAGGTGAGAACTGGGTTATTCCAGAAGAAATAAGAGTATGGCATAAGCATGGAGAAGCAAAAGAAAATAAGGAAGTATGTGACCAAGAATGGAATGCTTAGTCTTAGAGATCAGAGGCTTAAAGAAAAGGATTGATAAAAACTAAAAAGACTAATCCTAGCACTTGGGAGGCAAGGCAGGTAGATTCCCTGAGCTCATGGGTTCAAGACCAGCCTGAGCCAGAGTGAGACCTCATTTCTAAAAATAGCTGGGCATTGTGTCAGGCACCTATAGTCCCAGCTACTTGGGAGACTGAGGCAAGAGAATCACTTGAGCCCAAGACAAGAGTTTGAGGTTGCTGTGAGTTGTGACATCAAAGCACTCTAGTGA